TCAGTGGAAATGAAAAACAAAAGTAATCCAAAGATTAGAAAAAATATTGGCTGAGGTGATGTTTTTCCAGTACCTAAACAGACTTTCCTAAATTAAGCTGTGCTGATTTTTTTCTCTCTTTATTCAGTCACATTAAGCTTGTGCTGGAGTACTGTTTTGATGCAATTATACTAGTGCAAATTTCCATAATGTAAGCAAGTCCTAAACGATCTAAGTGATGACTAAAGGAGGGAAACAACAACAATCTGTGCAGGTGGAAGAGGAGCTGGTTAGCATGATTGTAGGAGGCATAACTACAAGAAATGGGATTTTATCCTGATAAAGGATATTTGGTATGAATCTCAAGATGAACAGTCTAATGGAAAACAGTGAGATCAATGCAGCTGCAGAATAGCCTCTCACTGGAGGTAATAGAAACCTGAGAGGCATAAGCAGCAAAAAAATTCAGTAAAAAATAGACTTTCATTAGACTTTGCACTGAAGTCATCTGAAATGACAAGAGAAGCCAGAAATTTTCCATTCACATCTTTTTGTTTATGGGCATATGGAATTTTGCTTATTTGTTTTATTTTTGGCTGATATTGTCTACTTACTTTAAAATGGAGGGGGTTTTTTGTTTGTGTTTGTTTGGGTTTTTTTGTTTATATTATTTGGGAGCAGAAAGAGAAAAAGGCTGAATTTTCCAGTTTCATACATTCCACAATAAACCACACATGTTCAAGAAGGTGTGAAGGAGGACCTGAACATTTTTTTTATTTTATGTTTTCTTATGCTTGAACTTTGTCCTATGTTATTTCCCCTGGTGTTTTGGAGAAGTGTGTTGCCTGGACACTGCATTCGTTTGATGTTTGGTCACTGTTCTTAGGAGCACAGCTAAGAAAATCTTACTGTTGGCCTTCCCCCCCCAACTCTTCTGTTTCCCTTTTACCTCTATTTGCCTCACTCACACTCACTTTGTCTCTCTCAGTTTCATGCCAGTCAGCGTTCCCAGTTAGTCTCACCCAAATGCTCCTCCACCTTTAGCTTTAAATAAAACTTCAACAGTAGAGTATCTGTTCAAGGTGGAAAACATCTCTTTGCTAATGATCAGTCACTGCAATGAAGCCACAAAAGGGGAATAGACATGATTTTCACTGCTCTTGTTTGCAGTGGCTTTTATTGATCTATCAGCTGGATGCTTCTGGGTTGTTCTGTGTTACGTCCTTAAAAAGAGCTGTGACCTATGCAGTGTTCGAGGCAGCATGGTCCTACCATGGATAACACTGACTGAGGATGGATGGGGCACTGCAGTGAGCTCCCAGACCCGGTGTGGAGGGCTGGAATTGAACTGATCACGTCTGCTCCCATGGGAAGGAACAGAAGGGCTCACCTCTCTGCCTGTCCCGGCATGGCATTGGATGTGCAGAGGGCTCACACACAGCCCCAGGTACTGCAGGTTGTACCTGCAACTTTGCTCATAGCAGAGGGTACTGAAGGGCTCCTAGGAATGGCCACCCAAGGGAGCTGTGGATTTCAGGTTGTTTTTTTCTTAATTATTTTGTGCATTTTCTATATGAAAGACACACAAAATGCCTCTGAATCTTTGCCTCCTAGTCCTGAGGGGAGATCGGTAATAGAATATATTGATTTTGGCAGAGTTGCCTCAAATGATCCTCCTCTCTTTTGCTTTCTCCCAGCCCACCCTTTCTCTATACCCTCCCTCCCCTCCCAAACCCCTCTTGCTTTCCTACAACCACCTCTTTAATTATAAAGAAAAAAGAGAACAGAGGCAGCCATTTTGGAAACATTTTGCCATCTAAATTCTTCAGGGCTTTGCTTGCTGCAGCTTATCTGCCACATCAGAGAGACCCTTTCAGTGTTTGACAGCAACTTTAGAGCACTTGCAATGAAAACAAAGGAGTTCAAATCACTGTGGCCTAGACTGCTTGTGTCCCAAAAGGGAGATTTTTTTTTTTTTAAAGAAGTGCCTCCAGAATTAAAATTGAGTGAAGATCTTTCTCTCTAAGTTAGGAACTAACCACTCTGGTGGATTACATCAAACTGGGTGCTGCTTTTTGTTGTTTAGTTGTTCTTGGCATCTTCTTATTTTGAAAGGAATTCAATAAAACAAGGTCCTTCCTTAGAAAAACCCCAATTAAAAAGTTTCTTGAAGCACATGAGTAATTGCCCTGATGTCAATATGGTTATACACATGCTTCAAATTGGAATTAAAGACCCTGAAGAGCTGCGACCAAAGTAAAGATAGATAAAAAACCATAGTGGAGTTATTGTGTTTCTATCAGTTAAAGGAAGTTGCAAATCAAACCACCATGGGGGTGCAGTAACACCATGCTGAGCCAAGAACAACTGACCTATCTCTGAGTCAGGCTTGTTACTGAGGGATTAGCAAGTGCTGACAGCTATTGCCCAGCCCTGGTGGGAAGCTGACTTGTGGACATCATGACTAAGAGCACTGTGTGCTTTTAGGGTGCTGGTATTGATGTTTCCAAGCACTGGAAAGAAGATGAGCTGAAAAAAGAGCTGGGTTTAAGCCCTTCTGATCTTTTGGGTACCCTTGCTGTTGCCAAGTGTCCTCTCCAGTCTAATGCAGCGTGGTACTCCCTGTGCTAAACAAAATCCTTCCCTGGGATATGCTCCTGCAGTGTCCTCCTGGGGCCACAAGCACTCAGGCTTTTCCTTTGTTAGGTGCAAAAATACCTACACAAACCCTCTTTTTCCTGGAGAACTCTCTTCTGGTAAAAGCTAGGTACAGCTCCAGCAATGGTCTTGCCAAGGTGTGAGTATACAGGAGAATAAGGACCTCTGAGATACATTTGCTCCATTTTGACAGGGTCTCTAAAAAAAAGCTCCTATAAGCCAAGGATGGAAGTGACGAGCTGGTAACAACGGAATGATTTTGAAAAGCATTAAAACCAAAATAAAAGCCAGGAAGGCTAAAGGACTTCCTATTTAGAGGCAATACTTAAAGACTCTTTTGCTTTGTAGAAGCAAAGGAAAGGGAAAAAAACTCTCTAAGAGAGACATGGAATTTTATTACCATTTTACCTACTCAGACTTTTTTATATAATTTATTGGGGAAAAAAATACAACAAATCTCAGTCCTAGTAGTGAGTAATCCTTTTACATGAAAACAAGCTGAAACCTCAACATCAGCCTGATCATGTAGAAGAAGAGCACTTCATAGTGATCCATGATAATAAGAATGCCATAGACTTATGCTGGTAATAACAACACAGGTGTCCACAGCCCTGTATCTTCTTACACACTTAAGAACCAAGCATACCCTCAGTGATCACAGCTATGCTATGATATAAAATTATTTCTTGGTGCCTAACTAGGGACACCTTTGTGTTCCTTGATCCCTTTGCAGGTGCTACTGAAAACCTTCCTGACAAAGACAGTCCCTGCTTTAACAAAATCGCATGCATGCATCTCCCGCTCTCCCCCAGCAAAGCCTGCAGTACAAAGCCAGTGTGATGAAGCAAAAAGCGTTTGGATATGGAAACATATTTTGGTTTCAAGCTTCCAAGAGGCCTTTTCATAAGCAAGGAAAAGAAAAGAGGTATTCGAAGAGGGAAAATGCATTGACAGTTATCTTCATATAGTCACATATAAAGGAGAGTCTAAACTATGGACCTGTTTCTTGCACATGCACCTGATATGTTTATTGAAAGGTTTCTTAATCTCTTTTATGTTGTCTTCAGTGCAGCACCTCTTTCAAAGACATTTTGATCCCGTTCCTTAATTCTCAGTGGAAAGGGTACTGCTCTGAAGACTGGAAAAATGCATTTTTCAAAGATATTAGATATACCAGTGAAAAATTAAAACACTCAATTTTTCTTTGGGAAAGCTGAAGATAGGGATTTCCTGCCTGTCTTAGATGAATCAAAAAAGGCCTGAATCAAAATCACAGAACCTTAGACATTACAGCTAAAATGGCATAGAAAGGTCACCTAACCCATCTCTTTATCACTAATTCAGGAGTACAAATTGCTTGCTACAGCTTAGGGCCTTCCTAGGTGCTGGGATTATCTGGTGCAAAACTGTTTTAACAATAGGGAGAGTCCCTCTCTGTGTAAATAAAAAAATATAGGGGTTTATATTTCTGTTTCTCAAAGAATTATCTAATGGAAGAGCCAGCCAGTGGTGGAAAATATTTCCATTTTTGGAAATATCTCCATTTTTGTTATTGGTGAGAGGTTGGGATTCCAATGAAACAAGTTGCTGCTTCTGATACTTTTGATGCTGTTGCATGTATTAGAAGTTTCCTTGGAGCATCAAGCTGGCTTCTTTCCAGCAACACATAGTATATGAGTCTAACAGTGAGACCCTAGGTCTTCACTTGAGCTAAACTTCCCTGGCTTTGGTTGGGTTTTGTCTACACACAGAAATTTAAAACAGCTGAAGAAGACGTGAACATGGATCCTTCTATTAATTTCTTGGGTTTGGGAAGAAATAAATTAGGAGTTATTCCGTTGTCAGGGAGACATATTTACATTAAGTTATTATGCTGGGATGAAATTGGATACAGACTTTACTGCATGAAGAATGAAGAATGCTTTGAAACGTTTGCAACACAGAGCTATTGAGACAGACACTGTCCCAGTCCAGTCATCTGGGATTAAACCGCAGCCCAGTCCCACCTCTCAACTGCAGATTTTCTCCAGCCACTAGAAATGCTCTCTTTGGCTGAGCAAGGAGAATTAGCACAGCTGCTGACTCTCCTCTAGTGACCAGAAGCACTTTCTGGAGATGCAGGATGCCCCTGGGGTGAGTAACTTGGCTCATCCCTTGTTAAGCATCCTTCCACCTCTTTTTCTAAGACACACACACACACAAACAGTCCCTAGTTTATGTGTGGGTGTGTGTCTGTGCAGAGTGGCTCTAGCCAGAGTGAAAAAGGCAGAAGCTAGAGAGTCACAGAACTGAATCTTTCTGAGGGTCTACAACACAGAGAGACGCTACAACTGTAGCTGACACCCCTTTCCCCATGCAGTTACCTGTGCTAGTGCTTTGTATCCAGTGGTTCCCACAACTCTTCAGTAGGGACGATTAGCATCCTTTGGCCTCTTCAGCTGCACCTTCAGCCTCTTCATGCCAATCTGGAACCCATTCATGGCCTGGATAGCAGCTTGGGCACTGGCAGGATTGTCAAAACTCACAAAACCTGTCAAAACATGAGGCAAGGCAGAGGGCTTAATGAGCTGAAGGGTGCCAAGGCACGTACATGCAACGACCACTGAGAATGAACATGGGGAGGGGGGTGAGGGCTCTGAGAGAGGGGAAGTGAGTAGGTAGGAGGGTGGGTGGGTGGTCAGGAGAGTGAGGAGAGGATGGTTGCCAATGTGGGACAAAGGATAGGAGGGGTTGTTACAGATCAAAGTCCCAGGACACAGTGCCTGGTCTGAGTGCTAGTTTGGACACAAGACTATGTGAAGCATAGGGATCCAAATGTTGGTGCCACTGAGCCAGCACACACAAGATTTGGGTCACCTTTGAGCTGGGAGTCAGCAGATGTAATGCATGGTCTCAAGGCACTCTGTCCTACTCTATTTCCCTCCATCATGACTGGGGTAAGCCTCTATACCCTTCTTAACTTGCCAGCATAAATTTTCCTTTGCCTTCCAATATTAACGATGAGGGGAATCTGATATACCTACTGCTACTTCCTTATTATGACAATATAAGTAAAATGTGAATTTAATAACTTCTCCATTACGGTATTCATTGGCATGAATAGTTTGATTGTTGGCCAGCTAAGCAATATAAAGACCTTTAATAACTGGCAATTTCTTCAGACTTTATGTTGACTCTGCAGTTGAGAGAGATGAACACTAGTGCCTTCCTAACATGGTTTCCCATTCCTCCCCATGGTTTCATACTTTGCCAGCAAATCATCCAATCAACCACGAAGCACATCCAGCAGTAGAAACAACTACAGTGACTGAGTGTTGTAGCTATGGGACACTGAAAATGACATTCTTTGTCTCAATGGAAGGCTAGTTCTCTGCCAATCTGACAAGCCAAGGTCGGTCAGAACCACACAGGATGCAGTGCACCTAATGAATTTAGCATTGGGAAGGATTTTTGGTGTGGGTTGATTTATTATCTTTTTTTTTTATTTTTTTTTTTTTATGTTAGATCTCAAAAAAGGCCTCATTTATCCATACTGTGTATGACTGTAGCTGGAGTGACCATGGGTCTGAGGTATTAGTGAGGCAGGTGATCATCACATTGTACAAGAATTGCTTCTGCTGTCTTTGCCAGAAATGTCCCTGTGTGCCAATAACAATCCTGAGCACCAGCCCTGGGTGAGACTAGCCTGGACCAGCCTGTACTCCAGACAAAGCCATCTGTTTACCCACCTCTGCAAGGCTCTGGCAGCTTAAACCAGTCCTAGGAACCTAGTGTCTCTCAACAGACAGGCTGAAATGAAGAGACAGTTTGTGAGCCCCTCAAAAAGCTAATGCTGAGTGTTTGCTGCCAGGTATACACCTGCTCCTGACAACAGCACCAGACCTGGCTTACAGCCTTGGGCTGTACTGTGAATGCATTCAGCACCACCTCCTCCCTGGTCTAGTGCCTCCTTGAAAGCAAGTCTCACAGGGTGGCTTCCATTTGAAAATGACAAAGCCGCTTATGGAAGGGCACCTTCTCACTCCTGGATTCAAGCTGTGCTCCCTGCCTGTGGCTAATAGTGTAACTTCATGACAGGCCATAAAATCTGTGGTCTTAGACTCCAAGTGAGACAACTCAGGTTTCCTGAGTATGGCACATGTGGCTTTACAAGGGAGGTGCATGGAATAAACAGGGATCCTTCTTTGTCCTCCCCTCTTGTAGCCAAGGCTCCAAGTAACTGGCTGTCCATGCAGTTTTCCTGCCAACCACCTGGATGAGGGGGTACCAGCATGGCAGCTCTGAAGATGTCATAAAAAGTACTGCTCAAGCCTCACAGCAATCATCAATTTCTATGGAGAAAACTGGAGAGTAATGAGCTGGGGTATTATTCAATAGCAGTGGATCTGCTCTTGCGGTCACGTATTAGCCAGTAAGTGCCTGGTAATGTTCCCAGTTCACATTTGACTAGTTGAATAATCCATTAGTCAACAAAGTCCTATGATTCAACCTCAGTGAAAGAATAAACTAAACACCTCCTGATTTCACCCAAGTTCATTCAGACTTTAAATGCTCCCTTGGGAGTGCTTTAGTTGAGCTCCAACTTTAAATATGTTGTCTAGATACCTCACATCTTTGAATATAGCGTGTAGTGAAAGCTATTTCTTTTTAAGATCATGTCTGGATTGCTAATATTCCTGACCAACACACATCAGCTACATCAGTAGACTAAACCTGTGCCAGGGAAGTTCAGAGGAATAGAAACCTAATAATCTGTAGTGCTGAATTTTTTGACTTGTGCTTAACTCCAAACAATTCCTAGACAAAGCCTGAGTATTAGCACAGAACAGAGGCTGTTTTCAGCAGTTAACTTGGATGTGGCCATGATACTCTGGAAAGTGAGAAAATTTAATAATTTGGGTGTGGGCCATTTTGTGCCAGCTGTTCCCAGTGCTAGGGGAAAGTGCCAGGTATGTTTACTTTACTAATATATATGTAGTGATCAGATATCAAAACTGAGTTGGCTGCAGCTGAATAATTGCTTAGATCGTGTCTTTAGAGAACCTACCTTGCCTGGGAACTTTAATTTCTACTCTTGTAACTGGCCTTGTTTTAGTGTCCCTCCTACTGATGTGTTCATCCACTTGTGAACAGAATACCTTAGGACCCTACAACAATCAGGGGAGATCTAGTCAATGGAGAGCAGAGCAATATTTATCTCTTTTTCAGGGGACTCTTAGCTGTGCTCAAATGAATGAAGTCCCACTTGGCTGTGTATCAGGGACCAGTGCTGGCTGCAATGAAGGCAGGCACCTTAGCTTAAATCAAGGTACTTCCACTGTAGGATTTAACTGGTTCCATAACTAGGAGTGTCATCTCAAGGTAAGATGTTGTTAACTCTCTAGTGCTTGGGTGAGGCACTCCTCAAAGTGATGTTAATTGCTGAATCAAACTCCTAATGTATGCAACCCCTTCCAGAAACATTGTCTAGTATGACAGACTACTATTTGTTTGCTTTTGCCATGACTAGACATTAGTGGGATGATAAGCCCTGGTGCTGGGAGGCTCATAAAGTCACACCTCTGCAAGAACCTCTCTGTGAGATAAGCTCACAAAGCTACACTAGTTTCTATCATCACTTTGCTTTTGAAATGGAATTCTAACCCATTTCCTCATTCTGTGCAAAGCTGTAAATAATACTGCATTTTAACAAATGGGACTAATAAGAGAGATCAGAAGTGCATTTGCTCACTATATTTCATTTAGACCAGATAATGAAGCTGAGAGTTGTACTCTGGTTTTGGTATTAGTTGCCTGCAGATTTGGACCAAATTTTTTCTCCTTCATTGTTCTAATATTCACTGATGCAATATAAAAATCTCCTCCTGGCAGAGGAGCCGGCATGGGAGGCCTGGTGAAAGAGAAGGAGAAGGGCAAATGCTAATAACTGTACACTTTTCTTGTGAGAACATTCTAGAGACAGAGCTAATTCCTCTAGCTTCATTTCACTGTTTTAATTTGGAGGGGGTCTGATACGCTCAGAGGTTCTGGTCCATCCAGCTCTTCCCCTTCCTGTTATTTATGTGGAGTTGTGCTTCATATTGTTGGAGGTATTTGGATTAACTCCAAAGAGAGGATGGCTTATCCTGAGAGCTGAGATGTCACAGTGATAAGAAATAGGCAGACAATGGGCTAACAATAGCATATTCCTTTCTCTTCTCAGGTCAGATACACACTGGCAGACTTGACTTTTTTTGTTGTTATATGCACGACTGCCAGTTAAGCATCTAGGTTTCTTCTCATCTATATCAGCAGAGTTAATGGTGCTACGACAGATTTAAACATGTATGACTAGGAACAGAATGTGTGTACTGGGAAAATAACTTAAATACTTGTTTCCTTAATGGCTTTAATGTTTGAGCCCGTGAGCTCAAAGTGTAATGGTAGTACTACAGTTGCTATCTGTGTTTTGAACACCACCCCTGCATTGTCATCTACACTGTTGAAGGACAAAAGAGAAAGGGAGAGGTTAAAAAGCTTCAAGATCTTTCTGTGCATCAGTTAATTAATAATCAGAGAAATATACGTCCTGGTCTGAAGATGGTTGGTAGGAGGACAGCATTTTGTGATAAATCTATTTTATGGGGGGGATATTGGTGTTTTTTTTCTTTTCTTCCTCGCCCCCGTCCACCCCGCCCCCCCTTCCCCCAGCTCCAGGGATTATCTAAAAAGGCTGTCCTAATAAATGATTTATCAAAGCAGCAAAGAAGGGAGAAAGCTGCTAGGATGGCAGCCGAGGGCATCTAATTTTTCTGATTCTGCACAGCTTCTTCCAGGAAGGTAGTGATGTTGGAGTCCACAACTTCTCCTGGCCTGCTCTTTTCCTGCAGGACTGTATAAACTATTAGCAGGCAGAAACTGGGGTAGCATCTTCGAATTGCTTTATTTTCTCCCCCTTTTCTCCATAGGAAGTTATGTTGGTGAAGCTTGCAGAGGGAGCTTTATGCCTTTCTCATGGCACCAGCATGATCACCAATGGCTTTATGGAAGATATTACTTAAGGGCTGGTTTTCTGTTTTAATCATCTGGGATGATAAAGGAGGGAATTCACAATCTATCTCAGAGTACATTTGAAGACTATTTTGGAATTGCAACCTTTTAGTTCGCAGTGAGTATTGTCTTTGCATGTCCATGAATTAGTTTGTGCACTATAAGTGCAGTCCTGAACGAGCCCATTGTTATGTTCCCATGGATCCTTAATTGGTTTTTCTGAGTTTTCTGGTTCTCTTTGCATTCAGCAAGGAGAATTAGTGGTTAATGTGCAAAGCAGTCATTTGATGATCTGCCACCAGGCTGGAACAATATGTTGTCTCTCTTCAGCAGAAGTTTTCCTCTGGATGGAGCTCAATGCTTGGTAACTATGCTGAGCATCCCCTAAATCAGAAGTCACGACCACAAAAGAGGTACAGATGCAAGCTTTTAATCCAACCCCCTGAACTCAGGGCAGATGGTCCTACAGCAGGATCACTCATGTAACTAGGCTGCCTTCAG